TCTTGTGTAGCACAGTAGAGATGGAGGTAACAGGTTTTATGCCTTAAGATGGGTATGAGTTTCCTTCTGCTAGTATACCTGTGTGGATGCATGGGTGCATGAGTTACTTTACTTAGGATTTGAGCTGGCTTTGAAGTCTATTGTTTCTATGGCTAACCTTAGTGCATAACAGGCTTTAAATTCTGCTAACCACCTTGTGTTTAGGGTGCTAAACTTTCCCCCTCCTCTCAGTGTTAACTCCATCCTCAGCTTTAGGTTCCCTCTTTGTGCTACCTCTCAGAGAGGGTCTCTTTCCATGCTCTTGTCCCTTTCTTATCTTTTTCCCAGTACTACTGTGCTTTTCACTGTTGGATTTAGCTTTTTAGCTAGTGGTAGGGGCTGGTGAGCTCCACCTAGACTCTTTGCTCTCACCATTGTTGTTTCTCTCTCTATTGCTCTGATTAAACCTCAGTCTTACATACCCATGGTGTCCCTGAGTCTCAGCAGTGCGACCTCTTCAGTGCCCCTGCCCCTTTTCATTCTGAGCCCATTGCAGATTACTACCCTCCCAGAAGAAGTTTAAAAATGTTTTCTTCCCTCATTCAGCTGTAATGGGTTTCCACCAGTGCCTAAGTAGGATAGAGTTAGCTGCTCTTCTTGCCACAGATTCAGGCTTCTGTTCCATGTGGGAGTAAGGTGCGTAGAGTCTGGGTAGAGCAGGCAGATATTTGAGTCCCTCCCTCAGCAACTGCTGTACCTCTCCCTGAAGTATACTTGTATACAAGGCACACTTTCTTAAATCTTTCTCCACTTCTTCTTGAGAGTACCTGGTGGGGTTTGAGGAGAAAAGTCTGAAGAGAATGTGGACTCCCCCAGTCTCTGCAGCCCCCAAGGGTTTCATACATTTAGCATTTGTAAACTTACCAGCTAGCCTAGCTGGACTCTTCTTTCTGGTAACTGGCTGCACTTACCTAGGGAATCAAAGGCTCACATCTTGTCTTTCTCTTCAGGAGTCTGTCACCCCTTGGATTTACTCAGTTTATTGCCCTCTGGCCTCAGATAAGGAGTTCAAGGAAAACTCATGAATTGGCCATTTGTCTGGCTTACTTTTGTTTTTGGTAAGACTAGGAACAATGCTCTTTCTAGCTCTTACATCCTCAGCAAAACCCAGAAGCCAAGGCTCTTTATTTGAACCTTTTGAGTTGAATTCTAGATCCTGCTGGGAGCAATGACAGTGCTGAAGCTGGGATTCGAATCTAGTATCCTTCTAACCACAGCATATTTTCTCTTCCCTTCTTGATCTCCTTTCCCTTCTGGATTTATATTTCATTCATAAAATACTTGCTGTACACCTATTAGGTGGCAAGCCCTAAGCTTGATACAGAGATAAATTAGGGTCTCACAGGAGTTAATGTTAGCGTAACTATGACAGGGGCTGTCAGGGGACACCAGAGCCACTTCCCCCTATGAAACTTGGGGCAATGGATTGCTCCTGCCCACTCAGCAAGCCAGTCTTGGAACCTCATGCTCATCAGGCCATTTTCTTAGCCATCAAATGCCATTGACCCAGGAGCCAAGTCTGAAATGAATGATGCCACATATTGGAGATGAAGGTTGCATTATAGATTCCTTTGAAGTTTTCTGCCAGCAGATCTGTGGGCCGAGGGAAGGAAACTAACCTTGATTCCTCAGAATTGTGAACTCTTTAAGTCAAGTTTCTCTGAAGTGTGTGATATTTATGTTACATGTATTATTTAATCTGTTGAGAGGATCAATTAAGCCAACTTAAAACTGATTTCAGTAATAGCCCATGTCACAGGCAAGCCTGGGCTGATTTTTTTTTTTTTTTATATTAGAGCATTTGGATTGGAATTCACTAAGCTGCCTCATGGAGCCAAAAATAGAAAATTCACTAGAGCAATGGTGCCTTGGAAAAATCTGTCCAAATCTGCCCAGCTGGTATGGCTCAGTGGTTGAGCATCAACCTATGAGCCAGGAGGTCACAGTTTGATTTCTGGTCAGGGTGTGTGCCTGGGTTGTGGGCTCAATCACCAGTGGGGGGTGTGCAGGAGGCAGCTGATCAATGATTCTCATCATTGATGTTTCCATCTCTCTCTTTCTCTCTCCCTCCCCCTTCCTCTCTGAAATAAAAAATATATTAAAAAAGAAAAATCTGTCCAAATTTATGTTAAGAAACACCATAATGATAATAATATCACACCTTTACTTCTTGGGAGCTTCATAGTTCGTGAAGTATTTTTACTTTCAGGGTTTATTTAATTTTTCTGGTCCTCACAATGGCCCTGAAATTGGGTAGAGCAGGCATTGTTTCTGGTTGAGACTTGTGTCTGGAAGCCAGCTTGCCTGCCCAAGTCACACAGCGATCACCCAGTGAGAACAGCTATCTGGTACCCTCACCTGTGCTCACAATCTGAGCTGGACCAGTTTTCCTTGACCCACTCTGCATGCCTTTTCCCAGCCCATTTTGGATATTCTCAGAGACCTGACCCTTTCCTAGTTCTGATCTCTGAGATGTGCCACTTGATCTTGCTCTTCTGGTCTGACCTCTAATTCCCTACCAACTGCAATTACAACCTTTGTCTGCTCCTTTGATTCATTTACTTGAAGCTGCTCCTGGGTACATCTTTCATGCCCAAACAACATTTCTGCAATTACTGGTGCTGCCACTAATACGGCTTGTAAACAATAATAATAATAATAATAATAATAATAATAAATTAATAATGACAACAACCACAGCAGATATCATTTGAGTACTTATGATGAGTAAGACATTGAATTTTCCATATTTTATCTCTTTGAAATTTTGAACCTCAGACTATCCCTATAAATAGATTCTATTTCTATCTGAGTCATGAAGAACTTAAGGTGAACCCAGTCAGTGTAGTTAAAAGAATACAGATTTGTGTTCTGGCTCTGCCATGTACTCATGGTGATTTTTGACAGATGAGTTACCTAATCTCACTGTCCCTTAGTCTGTTCATCTGTAAAAAATGTGGGTGATAATTTCTACCACCTGAGGTTGCTATGAAAATTAAATGGGAAAGAGCCTGACACGTAGTAGGACCTCAAAAAAATGAGTTTCTATTTTTATTTTAGGGCTTTTATCTTCCACTCCTGGGTAATGCTATTTAGTGGATACTTTGAAATTTCAAATACGATTTTATACAAAGCGACTATATTAACTTCTTCTTCTTAATAAAACATCAACTCTGGCTGTATATTTTATCAGGGAAGCCAGAGAGGGAGAAATGGGGTCCTTTCTGGGAGAGTTGTAGGAAATGGTTTTAGATTTCAGGGTTGGTAGAGAGTAACGGGTGCAGTGATGTGTAAGAATTCAGTTTGGGATTAGAGAGTGACCTTGGGAACTAATTGAGTGTACCAACTTGCTCTGACAAAGAAACCCCTGTATTGGCTAAATAATATATAAGAGGTTTCCGTCGGGCAATGGGGGAAAATGGAATTATTTAGCGTATTTCCATTTCAGTGAGTTAATCAAGATAATTGCTGTTTTCCTGGATCTTTGTCTTTTCTTTGTAATTAACAAGGAATTTAGCCAGTGAACTTTGTATAAATTGCTGTGACATTTTTTGGTGCACATTGTATTTAAAAACCTATTACAGATCCTTTTCCTTCGAATTCTAGGACTGTGAGAAACGGATGCTTGATCAAGCTTAAGAAAAATTTATGGCTCAAAGATTCAAGTTCATTTGGAATTAATAAACAGCAGCGGGAAGCAAGGCAGAGCTCAACGAGCATGTGCTCCAGCGTCAGACAGACGCGTTCTGCTATGTTCTCACATATAACAGTGGATGAATGAGCCTCTCTGAACCTCAGTTTCAATTTCTGTAAAACGGATAATATCACCCATTTCCCAGAGCTGGTGCGATAATTAAATGCAACCATGTGGTTCCTAACCCGTGTCTGGTGTGCAACAAGGCTGGTTCCCTCCCCAACTCCTGCATACTTATCTAACGGTCATGTGCTCAGCAGACTCAGTTGTCTGGAATGTGGCTAAGACCTTAAAAAGAACCTTAAAATCTAGGTAGAAAGGGAGATGTTATGAAGTCCACTGATTAAAATAGCTTATAGAGAAACATCTCAGATATATTTGGTTTTTAATAGGATTGGAATGAACTGATCTCTGATTCTCTGACCACAGCACGGAGGAAGCCCTATCCTGGGATAAGAGAAGGGAAGTGAGCTACTTGAGGGGGCTCTATTGCAGAAACAACTAGTGACTCAATAGCGCCACCCTGAGAGAGGAAGCAGTACAACTATACCTATTAGACACAGGACCCAATAAAAGAAAGTGTAGAAACATTTGGGGCAGGAGGGGAGGGTCCTATAGCCTTATCGCCTCACTTCCTTGAAACTATCTTCATATTACAGCATACTATGCAATTGTGGGTGTTCCTTATGAATGACCTTGACTCATAAAAATAAAGATTTCATTATGTCTGTATAATGTGTTTGAGAAGGGAGGCATGTAAAGCACTTCATAAGTTCCATCCAAAATGGTTAAAGTGAAAAAAAAAATTTTTTTTTAACTTAAGATGAGAGCTTTGGTAACTGGACAATTCATCTACATGGAAATGTTCCTTTCCCCATTGCCATATTTCTGGATAGTGGTCATACGAAGATGCTAGCACCCTTTCAAGTACTTTTCATCTACATCACCTCCCTGTTGAGAAGGTAGTCATTGTTTCCATTTCACAGATGTGGAAACTGAGGCCTCCTGAGATTACGTCCATGGGAGAGCTGGGATTCCAGCTCAGTTCCTCTGACTCCAAAGCTCATGCCTTTTCCACTACAATATGTTCCTTCCCAGGCGCAAGCATCTCAAATATGAACATGCAGAATATATTACAGGTAAGGGTTTGCATCCCAAATCCTGAACTGAAATGACATAACAAAAATTAACACTCCATCAATTCACCTCTAATCCTATAGTACATCTCATGAAATAAAACTATTAAATGGCCTTGCCTGATACTTACTCATAAAATGTTGTCCATCCATTTTCATTGCTTTTAGTTGCCAGAAGGCCAGAGTTGCCATGGTATGTCATCATGGCCAACTCGTGTCCTTGTGTGGTCACACTCCTGAGTGCACTGTTGGTGCCCATAGTCATCCAGTACACCTGGCCATCTGGGCCCACCAGCCAGAGGGGCATCCCGGTAGAGTCTCGGCTGATGTCCACCCTGTTGCCATTGTTGTCTGTGATGAATGTGATGTCGTCATCTCCAGTGTAGGTGAAGTTGTAGAGGTAATCTCCTGTGGGCAGGCTTTGGGTGTACAGATGCTTGCCACTGGTATCAAACAGGTAGAGCTCCTGGTCGATTGGTGAAGACAGCTCATACATGTTCTGGGTGTTGAGGAAAGGCTTGTTCTTCCTGATAAACCGAATTCGGATATTACCAAGGTCGGCCACGTAGAGTTCCCCGTCAGCACATACAGCTAAGGAAGATGGGGTATTCAGCTTTGCATCCTTGGCATAACCATCATCTCCAGAGAAACAATCACAGTTGGCATCATTTTTACAGTCACAGCCACTTGGGGCCCCAGCCACTAGCGAGATCTCTCCGCTCGTGGTGACCTGCCTGATTCGGTTGATCTTTTTCTCATCGGTCTCAGCGATATACAGGACGCCATTGTGAGAGACAGCCAAGGCGGTGGCTGACTCCAGGGTTGCATGGATGGCCACCTTGCTCAGCAGAAAGTGGTCGATGCCGGGGACCTGGCAGTGCATAGGCCTCCCGGCAACAATGCGCACCTGGTGGTTTTCAGAGATTTGCAGAACCACGTTGTTGTCGAGGACATAGAGGGAGTTGTCCATTGGGTTGATGGCTAAGTCTGTGGGCCACTCCAAGCGAACCTGACAATGGAGACACCAACACTCAAATGCTTGGCAAAGTGCCCACCACTAATCACCCCATACTCCATATGGTCCATAACAGTGTCCCAAGTGCCTTCACATGCCTGGTCCTCACAGCAGCCTGTCATCCACAATGGATGTCAGGCCCCTATCAGAATGAAATCATGCAAGACATCTGATGGCCTCTATTAGATTGACAAAACATGAAGAACAAATAAAAAAAGGCAAAGAAACAAAAAAGTAGGCAAGAGACAGACTTTGGAGTCAGACAGGCCTGGGTTCATATCCAAGCCCCACCACTTATCACCTTGGGCAGGTCCTTTGCCTCCCTGAGTCTCAATATTCACATCTGTAAAATGGGAATGACCACAGAGCAGAGAGCCTGACCCACAGTAAGATGGTAGCTCAGAGGATGGTAGCTAGTGGTATGGAGGTGGGAGGGGAAGACTGATAGAGTCTGAAGTAGGTGTGGCCCAGAGGCTTAAGAGAAACTCTTCATGAACTGTTGATATGATTTTTGTATGAAAGATGACTTCTCAATTCTTAGATTAACACGTGGCTAGGTGCTGGGGATATAAAGACAGAATAACCATGGACCCTCTCTGACATAGTTCCAGACCAGTGATTTCCAAATTAGGCCACCCATTCAAATTACCTGCAGTGATTTTAGAAAGTATTGGTGCTCAAATCCCACCCCTGGTCAACGAAGTCAGATCTCTGGTTGTAGGGCTCAGGCCCTGGCATGATTTCCAAAGCTTCCCGGGTGATTCTAACATGGGGCTGGAAATGACAACCGGATCCTGTCTCCTCCCTGTGTGATCACCAGCCCAGCAGCACTGGCCTCACCTTGGAGCTAGTCAGAAATGCAGAATGGCAGGTCTCACCCAAACCTACTGCGTCAGAAACCATATTTAAACAACATCCCTGGAGACTCCCACGCACACTGAAGTTTGTGAAGCCCTGCTCTAGATAATGGTGTTTAGTGCCATAAAGAACAGGTGCTCCCGGCAATGGGAAGGAGGGGTTCAGAGGTCCTGGGCCCCATGTCGGAGCCTCTTCTGAGCCAGGTTGGGAAGCTGGCAGGAACCATGGTGAGTCTGCAGGTGGGCATGCGGGAAAGGCCGCCGGCAGGTGTGGGTGAGGTGAGGAATGCTTTGCTGAGTGGATGGAGGCTGCATGGTTGGATATATCGCATGGGGAGGAGCTGGCATGAAGCTGTGTCCCCAAGGGGTCCAGCCACACTGCACAGGGGCTGGAAGTGCTGACAGGTGCTGCCTTCAGCTGATTTGCTTATCCGATCCCTAGGGACTCGTCACCTTAGTTTCCCGAGTGAGGGTCCTACAAAACGTTGGCATTCGGTCTAATCTGGGCTTATTTAAACAAGCATATGCCTTTAGATAAGAAACTTCTCTTCCAGAAATATAATCATGTACACCATTGTCTATAAGGGTGATTATCACAGCCATTTTCAATAATGGTGAAAAACTTCAAATGCCCAACAACAGAGAATGGGCTAAATAAGTTATGGTACATTTAGTTCACCCATAAATTAAAATAGTTTGTGTAGCTGTTATAACTGATGTAACAGCTGGATATTTAATGACATCAGAAACCATTCGCCATGTATTATGTGGAAAGAACAGGTTACAGAGCTGTAAGTATAGTGTGATCCCAACTGGGGGGAAATACAGTAAATTAGATGGATTATGAATAGGGAGGAGATGAAAAGCTTGAGGGATATACCCCAAGATGGTAACCATATTGGGATTAGAGGCAATTTTAACTTTCTTCTTTGCCATTACTAACTTTGTAAATTTCCTACAATGTCTATGTGACAGTTTACAGATGTAAAGAGAAACCCCTGTAAATTCCTTACACAGGAGACGTGGACACCTTCATCTGCCCCATTAGCTGAGGGCCCTTCTCAGGATGGGGCAGGCCCTTTCTCATTTCTTCTGCGCGATCCCTAGGCCCTGCTTCCTAAGGTTTTCCTGCTCCCTCCCTCCCAGCCTGGGTCCCTCTGTTCTCACAGGACAGGGAGCCTGAGGCAGGGCAGCGCCGATGGCCAGGCAGCTGCCTTCATGTGCCCAGTGCTCTCTGGAGCACAGAGGCCCACAGCCTTCAGCTGCATCAAGAACACAGTTTACTCTAAAGTGACAGGGGAATTTTCAATTTCCTAAAACCCATTTCTGTCAACACTCACTGCTAAATATTTTATGCCCTCTGGTCCTGTGGCACCTTGGGGACCTCCTTGCCCAGACCTTTCTGCCTGTCATTATGATGAAAAGATGGCTCCCTGATGAGTGGGTGGGGAGGGGGTGGGGGAGAGGGGACCAGGCCAGGGAGAGGAGGTGGAGAGAGGAGGATGAAGGAAGGGTGAGAACTTCCCTGCTCTCTCCTTTACAGCCCCGTGTGCAGAGGGACCTGGGAGGGAAGCTGCGCTCTTGGAGCCAGTCCTGGCTGTCCCAGTGCCCGGGTGATGTCCTGGACCAGACCAAGTGCCCACGCTTCTCTGATCTCACCTCCCTGTTAGTGACGATCATGCTGAGGCTTCATTTCCCATCACCCACACGGAGGGAGGAGCCTTCATACCGTGGCCCCTCTAGCTCCCACGTTCTGTGGTCCTGAGGGGGCATGGAGCCCCTCTCCTGTCCTCCCCAGCTGCTGTGCCCTTATAAGGCACTTTGAGGTGACTGCCTTATTGCAGAGTGATTTACTTCAAAAACTGGATTGTCAAATGAATGAACAAATAAACGACTGTGAAGGGCATAGAGAGAGTGAAGGATTTGGGGCCAGGACACCTCGAGTCCTCTCTCGGCTCCACAATTCCTACAGGTGTGATCTTACGCGAGTTACTTAAATACTTTGAACTGCTTTCCCCCTATGTAAATGCAGGTAATAAATATTACATAAAGTGAGTGTGAGAATCAAACAAGACAATGTACAAGGCAGCTCTCAGCAAATTATAAAGGGAATGAATAGTTACAGCCTATTGCTAGCTGGCCGGCACTGTGCTAGATAATTGATGTACATGATTGGATTAAACACAATTCATTTTCACATCCCTGGTGGAGCCTAGCCCGGGGCTCTGCATTTATAACTGCATTTTCTGTCACCACACCTCGGTGTCCTGATCTGTAAAATGGGATTGATAATAGCTAGCTCTTGGGATTATTTTGACAGCTAAACAGGAAAAGTGGAACAGTACTCATCTCTGTGTCCCCATTTTTAAATGTGTGCAGAACAGTATAGGTCCTCGGGCAATCATTTTCGACCCTAAGTCCAGAGTTATCCTCTGTCTATGGTGGCTGCAGCCAGCTGAGCTGAGAACCAATCTCCTGTTGTGAACAGGTGACACCTTTTGTTCCTTCTGCACTCTCTGCCTACCTCTAGGTTCTCCTAGCTCAGTGATGGCGAACCTATGACATGCGTGTCAGAACAGTACCCATCTCTGTGTCCATGTTTCTAAATGTGTGCAGAACAGAATAGGTCCTCGGGCAATCATTTTGGACCCTAAGTCCAGAGTTATCCTCTGTGTCTGTGGTGGCTGCAGCCAGCTGAGCTGAGAACCAATCTCCGGTTGTGAACAGGTGACACCTTTTGTTCCTTCTGCACTCTCTGCCTACCTCTACACTGTCCTAGGGTCTGGTCTTTGTCTCCTCCCAGAGCAGCTGGTCTGAGTTCCCTGGTTCTGCTCTTTGCTCTCTTGCCCCTGAGCTGAGTTCTTAGCTCTCTGGCTTCCCTCCCTAGTCCCCATGGACGGTGAGGTAGCTGGGTGTTTATAACAGAGGAGGCTCTGAGAATGGAAGCCAGTGCCCCCTGCCCATATGTGCATATAAAAATACATGCCTGTGTCTGGAGCATTTGGCCAAAAGAATTCCACACTTAGATTCTACGGTCAGAGTAGGGAGGACCAAGGACATAAAGATTTCTTGTTCAAGATTTCTGAATCGCAGTGTGGGTTTCCCCCCTCTGCTATATGGCAGTTGTCCTCCAAGCCTTTGCTCTGGCTGCTTGGCAGTACCTCTATCTAAAGTGAAATAATTTCCCCATGTGTGGATTGAAAATTTTTGGCATCCGGTGCTGGCTGGTGGAGGGTCCGTTCTAAGAGTTGAAAATACTTGCACACACATCCTCAGGCCGTGGCAGCTTCCTGCCTGGGCAATCCAGGCTGGCTCACAGACTGGAGAGGGAAACTGCAGCCAGCAAGGGAAGCTCGCCAAACTGGGAAGACGAGCAGCAGAGAACAGACTCCATTCTGGAGTGTGACCATCTCAGCAGCTGGCGCAGAGGGAAATCATATCTGCATCCAACAGGGATATGACGAGGGTGTGGGGACCCGTGCAGCAGCTCTGGGGCTCTGGGAAAGGGGTTCTGTGACACACATCTGTAACCAAGGTAGGCATGAGCCATGAGGCCTCCCAGCCTCTGCCGCCTGCTGGGCACCAGGGAGTGGGTCCATGGGCAGTGGAATAGGGCCTGTGTGCAGGCTCCCCTAGCAGTGAGGGGGTTTAACAAGCTAAGTGTGGCTATTGCTGACACCAATGTGCAATTAAAGGTAACTCCAGCCTCCTGTTTCCTTGGTTTTGCTCATGCTGGCAAGATGGATGCTCACCGATTAAGCACTGGCCAGGCCCTGACCAAGGATCTAGCAATAAAGGACACATCCCTGACCAAGTCATTGCAGGACAAATTACAGACATGCTGAATAGCTGTCACCTGTGTCTTCCTCTCGTCTACACTAGGTTCCTGGTGCCACCTGTGAAGGTCCAAACCCTTTTCTTTGGACCTTCAACAACTGACCCTAAATCAGTGATGGCGAACCTATGACACGCGTGTCAGAGGTGACACACGAACTCATTTTTTTGGTTGATTTTTCTTTGTTAAATGGCATTTAAATATATAAAATAAATATCAAAAATATAAGTCTTGCCCTAACCCGTTTGGCTCAGTGGATAGAGCGTCAGCCTGCAGGCTCAAGGGTAACCAGGTTTGATTCCAGTCAAAGGCATGTACCTTGGTTGCGGGCACATCCCCAGTAAGGAGTGTGCAAGAGGCAGCTGATCGATGTTTCTCTCTCATCAATGTTTCCAACTCTCTATCCCTCTCCCTTCCTCTCTGTAAAAAAATCAATAAAATATATTTAAAAAATATATAAATCTTTGTTTTACTATGGTTGCAAATATCAAAAAATTTCTATATGTGACATGGCACCAGAGTTAAGTTAGGGTTTTTCAAAATGCTGACATGCCGAGCTCAAAAGGTTCGCCATCACTGCCCTAAATCATACTTCCAGTTTCAACTCCTGCTACTATTTCCTTACAAGAACCCTATGGTCAGGCATTCAATTTCCTGATACTCATTGAATGTCTGGGCCCATTAACATCTCTGTATCTTCACACATGCTGCACCCTTTGTGTGAAATGTCTCCATTCTTCCTCAACACCCAGCAAACCCCTATCCAACCTTCAACACCTGGCACAAATGTCTCCTCCTTTGAGAAAGTGGGCCCTAAGACTTCTGTTGATTGATCATCTCTGAAGTGTCAAGCAGTGCTAGGAGCCTCACAGGCATTGCTTTCTGTGTTCTTAAAGCAATCCTGCTTGGCTGATGTCCATTTTACAGATGTGAAAAATGAGGCTCCAAGGACCACAGAAACTTGTTTAAAGATACTCAGATGATGAGTGGCAAAGCCAGGATTCAGTCAATCAATCAATTAATAAATCATCAAATACTGGTTGTGTTCCTACTGTGTATCAGGCACCCTGGTTATAGTGGAGGAAAGGGCGGATGGAATTCCTGTCCTTCTATTTAGAAGGAGAACAGACAATGTGTAAGTAGCTGTGTTTCCAAAGCAGGAAGTCAGGTGGCCATGGATTTAAATTCACAGTGTGCATCTCTGCTGCCTTTGAGGCTTCCTGGGACAGCTGTCCTCTGTCACCACTTGTTACCCCTGATGGTGAACTCCCAGGGCGAGAAGCTGCGCCCTACTCATCTCCGTGTCCCGAGTGTTATGCACAGACCCAGCTCCAAGAGTGTGCTCTTAAAAGGCTTGTGTGGTGTAAGATCAACGGCTAGCGGACTGCCTGGGTGCCAGGTGAGAGGCTGAGCGTGCGGACCCAGGGCCCTGGCAGACACAGCCTTCTCCTTACCTGAGAAATATCCATGACAGAATCACAGCTGAGGGGCCGGGCCGAGGTCAGGTCATTGGAGCCTAGGAGGGTGGAGATGACCCCATTCTGGTCAATGCGTCTGATCATGGTGCCATCCACGAAGTAAATCAGCCCTGACTTGTCCACCGTGATGCCTGGGGCAGAGAACACTCAAGGTTAGAGGTGGTCACAACCCACCTACTCATGGAGCTTGTGGGATGACAGAGAACCTCCTCTCCATGATTTGATTAGCTCTTCTGCACATCATTTATTCCCCTTCTAAAGATGAGGAGACACGCCAGAGGTGTGGAGTGGCTTGTTCAGAGTAGGGATGAGAACCCAAGTCTCAAGATTCCCCTCCATCTTGTTGCTTCTGGGGATTTTTACCTACCATGTGACCCATCCACAAACACTGGACTCATCCCTTCTGGGGGCTTGTAAGCACCAGAAGTAGCGATAAGGAGGATCATTTTTCAATATCAAAACTGTGAATTATTTAAATAACCTACTTTTGAAGACCTGTAATTAAATTATACTAATCACATCTCCTTTTCGGTAATAATTTTTTTTCCTTCCAAGATAATCATCTTTCATGTTTTTCTATTACTACTCTGGTTTCATAGAAGTAGAGAGCCCCCCAAAAGAATCCTTTGTATTTGTATAGAGAATATTGGTGAAGTTAATTTCTAAAAAAGGCACGCTGAAGAGAAGAGTCAAAATTATGACTAAAAATCATCTGCTCCATTTGCTAGACTGTCCCAGACTGTCCCACCCTGCTGACTTCCTCCCTGACCAGCCGTGTGACCTTGGGCTAGTCACTGGAAAGCTCTAGATTTGTGTCTCTGCTGTTCAATGAAGGAATTGTTCTAAATCTGTATTTCCCACTCGTGGATGTGTGTGCAAACCCCCTGGGAGTTTGCTAAGATGCACCCCCAGGCAGCTGTTGAGAAAATGTCAGTGGAGCCTGAGCAGGTATCTGTGTTTTTGACAAGCACCTTGGGTAATAATGATAGAAATCAAAGTTTGAAAACCTCTCTAGTCAGTCAGTACTTCTTAACCAGAGATGTGCCACAGAATTACCTGAAGAGTTTTTTCAACATATACCTGCTTGGCCTCACTCTGGGAAATACTAATTCAGGGGGTGGCTGGAACAAGGACCAAGGCTTGTTTCAAAAATGCTCACAGTTAATATTGACTTCTACCTCAGGTCCAGAATCCCTGACGTTAGACACACCCCTCCAAAATGGAGGATGGCTCAGGGTGCTGGGGCTGAGCCACTGGCAAGACATGCCCTTGTGCCCCTAGGGAATGACAAGCCTGAGAGGGTTCATGATGAAATAAAAGAGATTCTGTGTTTTGTTCTGCTCAGTTTTCTCTGGGGAAGGAACTAAAAGAAGGGGTCTGCAGAAGCTTCACAGAGGTGGAGACACTTGAAGTATCCAGTGGTATAGCCTTGGGTGAGTCACTCCCCTTCCAATTTTCAGTTTCCTCATCCATAAAATGGGGATAATACACCTGACTTGTAATCGTTAGCCCTCCATAATTATTAGTGACTTATCATTATGAGAACCTGACCAGCACTTTGTGGGTTTTAAGGCCCTTGCTCTCAGGGTCCATGTGTCTATGACAGGTCAGAGGGTGGTTTTAGATACTAAGGGCTTCTGAGAGAGCCAAGGCCACAGGAGCAGTAGTTCCTTCTTCCCCGTCCTGGGCTGTTCAGGGCTGGAGAGTGATTTCATGCCGAGGACCAGGCAGCCTCAAGGCGGGATGCCTGTCTTTGGTCCCTGCCTAGAATGTGAATGAATTACATTCTTTAAGTACTGAGACAGGAGTTTTCTTATCTGCCTGGCTATGCTGTCTCTCCTTCCATCTGCTAGGACTGATGAGTGCTCCATGAACAATTGGGTTTCTTGTTTACAAAGTTGGCTGCACAGGCTAATAGAAGTAATCTGTCCTCTAATTAATTACTTCATTTTGTCTTCTTTTGTTGTGCTAAATAGATGAACAGCTTTTCTTCTCCCTGTTACAGAGTGTCTGCATATTGTGGCACCCTTGTCATTTCTATTTGGGTTAATCACAGGCTTTTGGGCAATTTCACTGTCACTATATCTGTGTGTGTGTGTGTGTGTGTGTGTGTATGTGTGTGTGTGTATGTGTGTGTGTAGGGTGGAGAACACACCTATGTAGAGCAGGGATTTTCAACAGGTGAGCTGCAAGATTTTTTAAAACATGCAATACCTGACTATTTAGTCAGGGGCACTGACCTCTTTTCCCTTAGATTGTCAAATGAAAAAATGACAGCAGCCACCATAACAACAGCTATCTGTCTGGTATAAATGAATCAAAATTATATCTTTTTTTTTTTCAGATCGGCAAAAAAATATAATACATTTTTTGGTGTACCGTAGAATTTTAGTGATTAGTTTATGTGTGCCATGAGATGAAAAGGTTGAAAATCACTGCTGTAGAGCAACTGAGAAAGACCCAGAGAGAGTAAAAAATCTCAGAAAAAATCCCTGGTTTTAATTCATAGAGTAAAATGTTGCAACTGAAAGGGGGTCTAAGGGATCATTTAGCCCAATCTGCTCATTTACCAATGGGGACACTGAGGCCCAGAGGAGTGGCAGAGCAAAACCACAATGCAGGGTCCCTAAGTGTAAGCTCTTTCCACCCTATGCTACTCTTTTAGTATTAGGAAATCATATTTAGGAGGAAGATTAACCACAGATGTCACAATATTTATCTCACAGAGTTCCCACCTGACCACTGCAGGTATGTGGTAGAGATATAGAATATCATATAATATATGATATGAGGGGATGTCATATAACACAATATAATATAGTATAATAATTATAATAGGAATCCCCATTTATGGGATGTTTATTATGTGACTGATACCATTGTACTAAGTATTAACATTCCTGATAATATTTAATGTGTACTACAACTCTACAGTATCTCTCTATTTCATAGATGAGCAAAATAAAGCTCAGAGAGGTTAAGCAACGCACCCAAAGTCACTAGGCAATGACTGAATTTGAATACAGGACTGTTTGTTTTCATTAGCATCTAATGGCTTTGATTTGAACCAGGCCCTGAAATCTGGCACTACTTACTAATACAATCACTCATGGCATTTTTACAGGTTATCACATGCAATATATTAATTTTGACCCTCAGAATGATCCTAGGGGGTGGACACAAGAGGTATTATTACCACTGTTTTATCGACGAGGACCCTGAGGCTTAGACAGTATAGGTCACTGGCTTTAAGGTGAATGATGGCTATTTGTTGTTAATGTTGGCTTCTTCTCCAAACAGCCTTCCTTCCTAGTCTCCTAGGCACAGGGGCCTCTCTTGGCTTTGGACTCCCACACAGAGTTCTTTCTCCTTATGTCTCAGGAAGCACTTCTGCCCTCTCCCAAGTCAGAGTATTCACATTCAAGTCTATTTTTCCTGCTACAATAAACGTATCTATGCAACCACAAGGCACTGCATCCTCAGTATGCATCATCAGTAAATACTTGATGAATAAGTGGATGAAAAATTGTGATTGTGGGTATGAAGAGGCCCAACTTTTTGTGGGACTCAAATGGAAACTTAGTTAACTCATCCTATAGCAAATGAACAGAGATGATACACTGCAATGATTTTATAACATAATAGTGTGAAAGACAGCATACATGTCCAACTAAAGAATGGGCCATTCACTTGCTGGAACAATATACAGTCATTAGAAATCAGTACGAAGACTAATGGCATGGAGAATGTTCATTTTTTATCAGTTAGGAAGAAAGGTAGGTCACTAAATGTTTGTTTAATGCGATCTCACTTTATTTTTGGTGAGTATTACATGTACCCACACACCTAGAAAAAAGGTTAAAAGGAAAGATAGGAAATGTTAACTGAGAATTTTTCTGGAAGGGAGAATTATGATGTCAACCTTTCTCCAAAGAGTTCATGATATTTTCCAAAATTTTCCCAATAATAAACATCTATTTCTTTGGGAAAAGGAAAACACCCCAAAACATGTTAACTGAAAGTGACTGAAAAACAAAGCCTTACCCCTGGGATTGGTAAGTGTGGCTTCCGTGGCCTTCCCACCATCCCCGCAGCGGGTGTCATCAAAGGGGAGGCACTGGTCACCTGTCCCCGCGACGACCTCGGAGTTCTTGACGAGGTCCTTTACCACCGTGGTGGACTTGATCTTGAAGACCCGCCGGCTGTTGGTGTCAGAGAGGAAGACAGCCCCGCTCATGGGATCTGTCGTCAGGTAGTATTTGTGCGCTGGACTGTGACTGGAAGACAAGGACATGCCAGTTGGTGAGCCCCTTCTTCTTTCCTACCAGGTAGCCAGAGGCGTACAACTTAAATCCAAGCAACAATATCATATGTGGATGATGTACCCATTTTGGGGGCGAGTTCCCCAATTTGTCTGACTCCAGATATGGTGGGTCTAACTCTCTCTCCCACTCTACTATTAATGCCAATGATTGCCAGGCCCAGCCTCAACCCCGTGCCACCCCCATATCAGGTGCTCAATACATGTTTTCTTAAAAGGAATGTCCATGAGGGTTACCATAGGTGGCCTGTAAATCCAAGCCAGGAACACAAAAGAGCTTGACTTTAAAACCACTTAAAGGTTGGACAGTGGGAGGGAAGAGATCAACCAAAGAACTTGTATGGACACAGACAATAGGGTGGTGGAGGCCTGGGGCAGGGGGTGGGGTGGGCTAGAAAGGGTCAATGGGGAAAAAAGGGGACATACGTAATACTTTCAACAATAAAGATTTGATAATAAAAAAAAGAGTTGGACCTATGAACTCTTCTTCCACAGAATTTTCACAGCAGCCATAACCCTTCTTGGGACTGACTGATAAGACCCTGCCAGATCTGACTCCCAGTCAGCGTCCACATGGTCTTCACTTGATACACATGTTATACTTATCAGGAGCCCAGCAGTCTCCCGCTTGCAGTCAGATATAAATGAGTTGCAGGATTAGTTGTAATTGGCAGCAACATCCAATGGAAAATAAACAAAACACAGGAGCGGTGCTCATGATGGTTCCACTCCTGGAGACCAGCCGTGAAGACCAGGCCATGCTAACAGGAAAGTGAGGTCAGACCTCGGCGGCACCCAGGCATCGCAGAGACAAGGTGCTGCCTCTGGGCATAGGGTAGGAAAAGGCACCGCTTGGAGTCTGCTCTCTCTGGGTTTGAGGTCTAGCTCTGTTAGTTCCAGGTTCTGAAACTTGAGCAAATTAGCTGGCCTCCTGAGCCTTAAGTTTTCTTCATCTACAGAATGGGGATGTTAGCAGCTACCTGGCCAGTGTACTATGAAAATTACATAAAATCATCTGTGACAGATCTCCAGCATCATGGCACCTCAGAGGTACTCCACATCAGCACTGTTTGATGACTAGCCATCATGTCTGTTTTTGCATGTGGAGAGGACTAGAGCAGCGGCCGCCAACATTTTGGGCCTCACAGACCACCAGTGGTCCGCGGACCACTGGTTGGCGATCGCTGGACCAGAGCGTAGGTATTTCTTATTAAGCTTGACTTTTGCTATTACATGGTACTGCTTTACAATTTCATCAAAGTCTAGGCCACATTGGAGTTGGACTCATAACTCCTGGGAGCTGTTTCAGTTCCTGTACACGGCCTGGTAACCCTCAGCCCTCAAACTGCATCTCAGTACTGACAGCATCCTCTAAGTCTCTGGAAAGTCTTCTAATTCAAAGGCATCTGTCTGTTCAGGTTGGATGGCCTGGCACTGGCCGGGGGCATGTATTTCAGTTTCAGACTCGGTTCCCAGTCCTGGTTGGGGCACGTGTGGGAGGCAACCAATTGATGTGTTTCTCTCCCATTGATGTTTTTCTCTCTCTCTGTTTCTCCCCTCCCCCTAAATATCAATGGAAAAATATCCTTGGGTGAGGGTTAACAAAAATAAACAAATAAATAAACAAATAAGCCTAATAAATGGCAGCTGGTCTCCATGAGAAACCTCCAGAATGTTTATGTTATTGCATAATGGAAAAGCCAAGAATGGCAGACATAATATTGTCCTGTCTGATCTATTTCCTGGGGCAGTTAAGGACTCTGTTAGAATTAACAGAATATGTATAGCTGGGATCAATGGAGGTGAGTTCAAATGCACTTCTGAACAACAGGCTTCAAACATTTCTCCATGACCCTAGGGAAGAGATCTGGAGGAGATAAGGATCTGTGTTCCCTGATGGGGTCCAGGGAGGAAGATGCCCAAAGGATTGGGGTCCCTGGACTGCGCATGCCCAGTGTGGTAGGCTGGTGGCATATTGAGGCTGAAAAGGCCGAAGGCAGAGAAGAGACTGCTCTGGGGAGCACCCACGCAGGCTAAGAGCACCAGCCTGAGCCAAAGGCTATTCCTGGGAACAGTGGAGACAGTAAAGGATAAAGAGGACAAGATTTCAGAATTTCTTTAATCCACTTCTGACATTTACTGATGGGGACATGAACGCCCAGAGAGGGGAAGAGGTTTGTCAATACCCAGGTGCCTGTGAGAATCAGAGCTAGAACCCAGGTCTTCTCACTCTGTTTTGACTTTAGAAAACCAAAAGGCAGAAGAAAAATCCTTTATTCTCTCCCACTCTTCACTTTAGAAATACTTTTTAGCACCTGAGAAAAACAATGAATTGCAAGAGGCCAGGAAACTGGCTTTGAAATCATACCATGGATCTATCAAAAGATAACTAAACATCAGAAACAAAAGACACCCTAACCACAACTCTCTCAACTAAAGATTCTGAGATTAAAAGTGGAAAAAGCCAGGCGCCCAGCCCACGGTCACATGATGAGTGCATGGAAAAGCTGGACAAGCACCCTGGCCTCCCGACTCTTCCCAGCTAGGCCCCCCTACACCCCAGCTGTGTACCAGGCAGTCACCGCCACTGAGTGAAGGTCTTAATGCTGAATGCTAGGTTTTTAATGAAGATCTTCATATGAAATGTACTTCTGTGTTTACTATAAATCTGAACTTGAGGGAACATATCCATACAGAGTTCAGTATTATCCATACAAAGCTCACCGAAAATCTGGTTTAGATTTCAGTGTCAGGAAAAAATATCCCTCCTCTGAGAAGTGAACAGATTTTCCCATTTCTGATAATGCAAACTATGAAAATTATTATGTTTCCCTGTTTATTCTGGCTGGAAGGAGGCTCCGAGTCTAATTTGATATATGACCACATATATGTGTTTCCTCCTTTTTATTTTGTTCCCAAATTCTATTTAATTTACTTTACTGCCTGTGTCTTTGGTTGTTAAGAGGATTGAAGGATTGAATTCCTTTTTGGGAAAGATGGAGACATCATCATCATCATCATGTAATTGTTATGATGATGTTAAAAATAAATTATTATTATTACTATCTAATAATGATGTTATTATTATTATTACCATTTCTGGAACTCCTTTCTGTGCCTGGCACAATGCTAGATACTTTACAAACATCCTCTGTAACACTTACAACAATTTCCATGGGAGATTTTATTAACCTCAAGTTAGAAGCTAAAGCCCAAAGAGATGAAGTAATTTTTTCAAGTTCACACAAGGTCACTTTCAAGTTTTGTCATCTGTAAATTAGATATACCATGAGTACCTAATTCAAAGGATGGTTTGCGGACAAACTGCTTTAATCCATGCAAATCATTTAACCTCTCTCTGCTACACACTAAGAAGCTCTATATCAGTGATGGCGAACCTATGACACGCGTGTCAGAGGTGACACACGAACTCATTTTTTGGTTGATTTTTCTTTGTTAAATGGCATTTAAATATATAAAATAAATATCAAAAATATAAATTTTTGTTTTATCAAGGTAGCAAATATCAAAAAATTTCTATATGTGACATGGTACCAGAGTTAAGTTAGAGTTTTTCAAAATGCTGACACGCCGAGCTCAAAAGGTTCGCCATCACTGCTCTATATACATTTAACATTTGTGATTATTACATTAATACTATATCTCACTATGTAGATATGCATATCATCATTAGTGGATTTGGGATTGGTCTGCCTCTATCTACCATACTAAGACTTCCTTTCATCCCACCTTAGCATCCCCCCTCATGTGCCACTGTGGTCTGAGCCCCGTGTGAGTCGGAGCCCCGTGTGGGTGACTGAGAGCCCCTCTGCAGAGATGCCAGCCACAGCCCCGTCTGCCCATGGCGACTTTCAAGTCACCCACATGTGTGTGAGGCTAGGGGCCTCCGAGGTCACTGTCACCTGGGAGTCAGACGAGTGCTGCAGTGACCAGAGCTGATGGCAGGCAGACATTTCTCTCTGTTGGTCTGATGAGGCCCAATTCTGTCTGCTGCAGTGTCATTGTGAGCCTACATGACAAGTCTACTCTGTGACAAAGTTCCTATTTGGGGATTGCTCTCTGGGTGTCTGTCAGGTCTGGAACTCCTCCCCTGCTCTGTCCTTGCTGGCAAGCCTTCCAGGGGGCTACCTGGCACCCCAGCCATCAAGCCAAGGCACCTGGAATGCCCACAGAAGCACAGATCTGAGCCCTGTCTTCTTCCAGGGCCTTCGCCTGATCCAGATGTTCTCAGGACTTCCCACTGTGACCGTCCAAGTCACTCAACACAGTGAGGATGATGTCCTCCTTTATTCTAAGAAGAGGCAGACTGCGGTGTTCAAATTACTATGCCCAGGTTAACATTTTCCCGATCACTGCAGTCTGTCTCGTCCACTGACTACCAAAGGAGCGGCTGCACTTTGCAGGGATTAGAGGAGCTCAGGCTCTCACCACCTGTCCCCACCATTATTAACGACTTCCTCTCATTGTAACCGATTACCCGCAATCAGTTCCAACCACACAGGGTTCATTTGCCATCGAGCCATCTGAAATTGACACATGCATCTTACCATACAACATGCAACAAGGCAGAGGAGAGACGGGAAAATTCTCCACTGGTTGGCTTACCTATGTCTGAAATCTTTATTTCTGACAGAAGACAGGAGAGCAGGGAATAGAAGAAAGAATGAGGTGTTAGCAGCAGGGTTAGAAGCATTATTAGCAGCCTGAAAACTTGACAGCAATGGTACAGTACAACACTATAATAAATAAAGACTTAGCAGCCATGACACTGATATATTTCATATGGGATATTACTTGTCAGTGAGCTCACTTACAAGCAGCTACATATCACGGAAGAGGCGAGGTTCCACCTGCGCCGCTACGGCTGACTTCGGGGAAGCGGATGAGGTTGACACATGCTGCTGCTTCCACCAGGGCTGAGGCAGAGGGTGGAGCAGTCCACCCCCACCCCCTAGACAGACACACATTCCTGGAGATATACATGCTCACTGCTGTGTCTCTGCCCGTGGTCCTTACCGAGAGTTATTAAAACCTGCAGAACCTGCTACAATGATCTTCATAATAGACTACAGAATGGGAGATATGCTATAATTAGAAGGGAGACAGTAACACAGAGAAACAGACTGGGGCAAAAAGACTCAAAGAAAACTAAATCAAGATGATAATATATTGATCCATTTATCTTTCTTTCCAAATTTCATTGACTCCTCCCTTCCTTACCCACTGTCTTCCATGATCTCTCCGAAACAGTGGGAGGGAGACAGGGGAAATGGGATCTCTTATTTGAAAGGTTGAAAATGGAGGCCCAGAGCTGGTAGGTGTTGCTCAGTGATTAGAGCCTCGGCCTGAGCACTGGATGGTCACTGGTTCGATTCCAAGTCAAGGGCATGTATCTGGATTTCGGTTTGATCCCTGCCCCAGTAGCGGAGTGTGCAGGAGGCAAATGATCGATGTGTCTCTCTCACATGGATGTTTCTCTCTCTCTCTCCACCTCCCTCCCTTCCACTCTCTTTAAAAATCAATGGAAAAAATATCCTTGGGTGAGGATTAACAAAAAGAACAAAAGAAGAAAAAAAAAAAGAAAAAGGAGGCCCAGAGAGGGTAAGTGTCTTCCCCAAAGTTGTACAGCTTGTCTGCCAAGGTGGATTGACCCCCTGTCCATGGCCCTTTCCATCACAGGACAGGAGATGGAAAGACAATATGAGCAGTTGACCAAAGCAATTACACCCAGGGTTCCCTTTTCCTTGGCAGATGCCTCTGCCAATCACACTCATAAAAGAGAGAAGAAAGGCAGAGAATACTCCTGGTGGCCTGGTTCTCATTCAGCCTATTATCTGATTTCCTATGGGTCCACAGAATATAAGCTTCTAATCCTTTTCATGCAAAGACCCTCTCCTTCCCTGTCCCTGCGTGAGTGGGCAAATACCAACGTGCTCCTCTCGGGGCTGTTGTGGCTGTTGGTCAGCCACATGCACTGCAGAATGAGATTCTCAGCAGGCACAGACCTCCAGGGAGTACCTGGACAAGGCATTAAGCCAGAGTGGCCTTCACGGGTCCAGGTGACTGATCTTTGGTGCGGCAGAGCTGCACGATGGCCTTCTGGGTTTCCACCCACCATTCCAGAAGCTGGACCTTTGGCAGGTTTTTAAAATTCCATGGTCAACAGTACTACCTCCCTCGCAGAACTCCTAAACTGAATAGCAGGGGCCTCACAAAAGCGAGATTGCTTTTCCCCTGGCCGCTCTGGAGGAAGGCTTTCCTGCCCAAGGGCTGTGCTGTTCACCTGGACCCCAGCCCAGGAGAAAGCAGCGGTGAAGAACCTGGTGCAGTGTCTCCTGAAAGGGAGAGTGGGGCGCCCCCTATCTGTAACCTCAGCTTCTGGTAACCCAAGAACCCACCCTAAGACAGTGCTGTGGTTGTAAGGAGATCTGGCTAAGGGAGGCATGGGGAAAAGCCACACCAGGCCCTTTCCTGCTCCCTAAGAACGGCTACCCAAGAACCCACCCTAAGACAGTGCTGTGGTTGTAAGATCTGGCTGAGGGAGGCATGGGGAAAAGCCACACCAGGCCCTTCCCTGCTCCCTAAGAACGGCTGTGCTCCGTCACGCCTGGTCAGTCAGGATGGGGAAACAGAAGAGGCCGACTCGGCTGGCTCTGTGGCACCACAGAAGCAGACAGACAACGCCCGGTTTTAGTCCGAGGGCTTTCTCTCAGTATTGGGCAGCTGAAAAAACTGCTCCTCACTCTGAATGTTAAGTAACGGGGCAAAACTTGGTAACACTGGCAGGGGGGCCTTGGCCAGGATGCCATCCCTTGCCCTCGTTAAAAGACTCATGTGATTGATTCCAATCAGTTCGGTGCTAGGAGGCAGAAAGAAGATCCAGGGGCTTCCAAGGAGTTTAATTCTTGGTTGCCAGCAGCCTTCTACGTCAGCTGGACGCCAAGGCTATCTCCCTGTCCCAAGAGAGGTTCGACATTGCAGTGCCCTGTGGGAATCAGCTGCTGCTTCCTCAGGGCCCTCGGCTCAGGTTAGCCTCTGAGCTGGGCAGTGAGAGGTCCCGGATTCTGACAGGTGAAGTGCTGCCCTGGTCCTTCTCTGGGCCTGGTGGGTAAGGCCAGCTGGGCCCACAGGATGGCAAAGGGACGTTATTAGGAACGGTGAGGAAGGCAGCGCCTTATGTACCTCAGCTCCAGGATGTTGGTGACGTTCCCGGAGGGGAAGATCCTTCGGATGTAGTTGAAATCTCCCACGTAGAGGCTGCCGTCGGAGCCGCACGTCAGGGCCACGGGGGCCAGGAGCTTGTTGCCGTCAGCAAGGCCGTTGCAGCTGGGGCAGGAGATGCTTCTCCGGCGCCCATTGCCCATGATGCTCCCGATGACGGGGGGCTGCTGAGACACAAACTGGTTCTCCCCGTTCCCTTTGTGCAGGATGCCTGTGAGGAGACAGAGAACAGAATCACCCACGGAGCAGGGAGAGGCTCTCTTCTGAGGCTGACCACAGAGCTCCCGTGGTGTTGTAAGGAATGCAAGATCTCTGCCTGCCATTCCGGACATCTCCCAAGGCTGCCTCACCCCAGAATGAAACCTTGGACGGGCCATACTGCTCTACGGATGAGATCCTCACAACGACTCTGTAAGCTAACGGGGGTGGGGGTGGGGGGGACAAAGTGGCGTACCTGAGGCCACACAGGTGATGGTAGGAGCAGCCCTAAGTCCGGGCTCTTAGTTATTCATCTCCACGGCCTCTCACATAGACTGAACTCATCTCCTATCCCTCCCTCTGGTCTCTCTTACAGCACGAATTCTCTATCGCACTTGCCTGTTTTCCTCTCTTTAGGCTGATACCATTTCAAGTACAGGGACTGTGCTTGTCTTTTCCCTTTTTGTATCCCCAGTGCCCAGCACAGAACTTGACACAGAGTAGGCACCAATAAATGTTTATAGAAATGCATGAGGGAAGCGAACTCACAGTCTCTTCTCTCCAAGGTAGAGTCAAGAGAACTGGGTTTTTACCTCATTTTGCAACTAACAGGCTGATCCCAGCTCTTGTTGGTCTCTTGACTGCTCTAACTGCCCTTGGGCCTCAGTTTCCCCAGCAAAGAAGGGGTTTCCCTCGATGAGCTGTAAGCGCCATCCCATCTCCCCACTGTTTCCCCTCAGGCTCAGATCACCCGCTAGCTCCTGAATTATTGCCACGGCCACCAAGCTGGACTCGGCCTCCAGCTTCACCCCTTCTGCACCGCAGCCTGAGCGAGTTTTGTTTGCTCCAGTCAGAAGCATCTTAGCCCAGGCTGTCTCCTGTTAGCTTTGTCCTTTGTTGAAGGGATACCTTTCATTTTTATGTAGTCTGAGCAATTATTTTTCTACTTGAATGTTTGTGCTTTTTTAGGTTTTAGGGAATCTCTCTGAGATCATAAAGATATTCTATGAAAGTTAAAGTGTTATCTTTCTAATTTAGATCTTTAATCAAACTTTATTTTGTTTACTTTGTGCAAAGTATGAACTTACGTTTGTTTTTCTCCATATATTGAGCCAATTTCCAAAATGCCAATTTCGAAAACACCTATCCACCCTCCACTGGTAAGTGATGCTCCCTCTATCATATACCAAGTTCCCATGAACACATGGTATATGGAAAAAACCTGCAGTTACCCATGGTATCCATCCTATCCCCCTTACTTATTTCTGTAGTTATAGAACCTGGTGCTTGGCAGGGCACAGACTCTCTGGGGCTGCCTACAATCCCAGCCTGGTGTGCGGCTACACTTGGCAGGTGACTGCGTTCCGGCCAATGTTTGGAAGTGGAGGTGGCATGGCAGCTGCTGGGATGTGTCCTTAGAGTGGAAAGGGCTTGCTCTTAGTCCTTTCCTCCTTCTTGCTGGCTGGAAAGTGGATGTGAAGTTTGGAGCGAAGCAATCACCTTGGACCATGACCTTGGGGATGGAGGCTTGAGTAGGGAAGGAGCCTGCCAAGTGCTAAACCAGCTCTGGCATCTCTAGCTCCAGACTTTCAGGTGCGTGAGAAACACACTTGTAACCTGTTTGCAATTCTGTTATTTTGGCTTTTTGTCACTCATGGCCAAACCTCGTCCTAATGACTACACACAGGTCAGGGTCTGGGCTCCTTGTTTTGTCCCCTGGTATCTATTCATCTGTTCCTGTGCCAGCCCCACACAGTTTTAGATACAATGGCTCTCCTAGGGTAGCTTAATATCTGCTGTGTGCCTCTTTTTGGTTTTTATTTTGAAAATTGCCTTAGCTATTTACACATTTTTATTCTACCATAAGTTTTAGAACGAATTTGTCAATTTCCCCCCAAAATATGTGGTGGCTTTGATAGGCATTCATGGTATGTACAGATTAGGACATCATTGCCGTAGTTAGTGGTCTCATCCCAGAACACAGAGTGAGCTACTGGAAATTCAGATCTGACTGTGGCATCTGCATGCTTCACACCCTCCATATGCCTCTGGATGAACTTCAGCTGCCAAGCCCCCAGCTTTGGCTTTTGCTATTCCCTTCATTTCACCCTTTGCTCAAACCACAGTGACCCTCCTCTCCAATGACTCATCTTTCATGCTTCAGTGCTTGGCACATCCTGTGCCCTCTCCCTACTTGAGACAGGGCTAATCCTGCTGACCCTCTGAGAATCGGTTCAGAAGTTCTGTCCAAAAAGGTACCTTGCTGAACCATGAAGCTGAGTGACATGTCCCTCTTCTATGCCCCAGTGCCCTTGCTCCCTCTGTGATGGCACTGTCCATGGCACAGCATGGAAATTGCCTGGGAAGTATTGGCCTCTGATCTGAGTAAATTCTTGAGGCCTTTCCATCCTGCTTCCCCACAGCCCAGCCGTGACAAGCACAGAGCAGGGACCCCAGGAATGCTCATGGACTAATCCTTCAGACCGATGGATCCCATAGGAGCCCGTGGAATCTGAAGTGTGTGTTTTTTTGTCTCGCAGGGCACGAAGGACATCACACCAAGTCTGGGCTCTGGGGATTTTAGCCACCCACTCACCGCTTTGGATGTTGAGGGCGTGATGTTTGTCCAGGCTCCATCCTCCCAGCCTGGAAGCGTCGATTTCATAGCCCTGCAGCACTGCTGTTCTTTTCTCCCACAGGATCAGATCCGGGCAGGATTCGTACTCATAACCCACGGAAACTGCAGACAACAAAAGGCACAGAATGCACAGTGAGCAAGGTCTCTTCTTTGGCTTTAGATCTGCACGCAAGGCCCCTGCCTGTCTTTTGTAGAAAAGGAAAAAGGATCACATTTCTAAGTGGAACCACATCTATATGCACAACTAACACAGGGATGCTGGGCCTTAATAGCCCTTTTTTGAAGAGTAATCGTATATTATTAGGAAAAAATAAACAAATGTATTAACTACTTTTTAAAAGGACCCAGGTGACTGTATTCCAGGGAAAACTCTTTAGTATAGAAAACACTTTAGGCACAAAAGTCTTTACTGTAGCATTATTTTTCTTTTTGTTTTTTTGTTTTGTAGCATTATTTTTAATAGTGGAAAACTGAGAGTAACCTAAAGGTTCAAAAGTGGCTAGAGGTTGAGCAAACCCAAGTGTACTATGCTCTGGAGGAATATTATGTAGCCCCTGGAAATTATGGTTATAAAGACCATGGGTGACACAGGAATAATGCTAAGTTGAAAAAACTAGTTATATATCATATTATATCTGTGTTAAGAAAAACCATACATCAAAAAATTAAGTGTGAACAAGTGGTTGTATTTGCTTAGATGAACATACGACTTTATTGCTATTTTATCTACTTATCCAATTTTTATTAATGAGAATAGTATTACTTTAATAAAGAAAAACCCAAAATCACTTGTAATGAATTTATGAAAAGGAGCTCAGCGAGGGTACTTCGAAAGCTGGAAATGGCTTTGAGGTTTCAAACTTGAAAATCCCTGGGTTTCACAAGTCACGGCCTCCTTTGGCCACCAGGATGCAGGCTCCCCATGGCAGGCTTCCCAAAGCTGGGTTTGTGAAAAGCCCAATGACTGCTCCATGGAAAGGAACTGTCCAAGGTGGGAATGCCATTTTTGGGCTGACACTATTTTCCAGTGGGCAATATCCTACCACATACACAAGACAGGAGTTAACAATTGGGCAGCCCCTTAGAGTTTCTTTTAAGTACCATAAAAGATGGCTGACCACCCATGGTAGGAGGGGAATATGGCTGGAAAATGACCTTGAGTCCCTTACGCAGGCATAATGCCTCCTACTGGTCATATCAGGAGAGTGAACCTTGAGGTCTCCCTGTGTGGACACTTCCCTTTTTAGCTGGTAGGAGTAGTGTTCAAGATGAGAGGGTTTTCCTGGGGTATTACTCCAAGTCAGTGATTTTTAACCCTTTTCATCTCATGTTGTACATAAAATAATTATGAAAATTCTGTACACCAAAAAATATATTTTTTGCTGACAAAATATATAGGTATAATTTTGATTCATTCACACCAGATGGCTATTGTTGTGTTGGCTGTTGTCATTTTTTAATTTGACAATTTAAAGAAAAAGAGGTTAGTGCTCCTGACTAGTCAGGTATTGCACATTTTAAAAATCCTTGTGGCACACCGGTTAATCGCTGCTCTAAGTGCTTGTAGCATTAGCTCTCAAGGGTTAGAACTGCCAACAGTCCAGCTCTGAACCAATCCCAGGGTCTAGCTCTAATCCCAAAGCACACCCAGCCCCCAGAATCCCAAGGTCTGGGTGGGGCTGGACTCTAGGACAGGTGAGTCACCTTCTGCTTCATCTTTTAAAAAATGACAGCAATAACAACAACGAAGAGAAAACCTCTGTGATTGGAAATGAGGTAAAGAGGCCACAAAGCCTTTCTGAGGAAGGAAGAATCTTACTCCTCAATGAACATGG